TTTTTTTGTTGAGAATGTCGTATGCAGGATTAAGTGAAGGACACTCCACCGTTAGACCTCCACTCTTCGATGGAACAAACTACACCTATTGGAAGGAACGAATGAGGATTTACATTCGGTCAATCAACTTCCAACTGTGGTTAATCATCAAAAATGGTGAGACGATGCCAATGAAAAAGGTTGGTGAAACCACCATCCCAAAGAAGGAGGAAGAATATGATGCTGAAGACATCAAGAAGGTAGAAGCTTTTGAAAAAGCTAAACACGTGATTTTTTGTGCAATTAACCCGGATGACTACCGGAAAATTTCTTCTTGCTCCACCGCAAAAGAAATGTGGGATAAGCTTGAAGTGACATACGAAGGTACGCCTCAAGTCCGTGAAGCTAAAATTGATTTTCTAACCCATGAATATGAGTTATTTAAGATGAAGGAAATTGAAAGCGTTGATCAAATGTTCGACCGATTTTTAAAGATCATCAACGATCTCCATGTCCTTGGTAAAACATACTCGAACAAAGATCTTGTTCGAAAAATCCTTCGGAGCTTAACATCAGAATGGCGTTCAAATGTTGATGCCATATATGAGTCAATCGGTAACACCAATGTCACCATCGATGGTCTTCGAGGTAATCTTAAAACTTATGAATCTACTGTTCTTAAACCTTCTCTTTACAAGAGTCCCGGTCTCGCTCTCAAAGCGTCATCCTCAAAAAGGGTAGAGGTAAGTGACTCCGATAGCGATGACGATAATCCTTCTGATAACTTGCTCGAAAAGTTCCAAGAGTTTTTGAAGGAAGAACTTAGGTCCCGAGATTGTAAAAGAAAGGGGGAACCCGTTCCAACGTGCTTTGGTTGTGGAGAACTTGGCCAAATTAAGCCATATTGCCCATACCGCAAGGAAAATAAGAAGACGGAACGAGCATACATGGCATGGGATTCAGAAAATTCCGGTGACGAAACTGCCACCTTATGTCTTATGGCTCATGAACAAAATGGAGAGGTAAGTACTTCTAACTCTTTCTCAATTGAAGAATTACAAGAAGCCTTTCAAGAATTATTTGGTGAATTGAAGAAAACTTCAAAAATTGCCAAAGAGGCTAAGGTAAATATTCATACTTTGGAAGAGGAAAATAAATTTTTGGAAAATGATAATTTTGACCTCAAAAATAAAATTAAGGCAATGAATGAAGCTTCTTCCTTTGACCAAAGCTCTACTTGCTCCTCTTGTGAGTTTTTAAAAATAGAGAATGTAGAACTTAAGAGCACAATAGAAAAACTTAAGGTAGAAGAACCTAAGAAACTTGGTGAAGAAGTTAATAATGATAAACCACCTAGAAGAACAAATAATCCTAGGAATAAGAAAATTAATTTTAGGAAGAGTAAAAATAATAAGTTGAGACAACCTAGAAATGACTCTAAGATTTGTATAAATGATAGAAATAATTTGAGGCAACCTAGAAATGTGTCTAGGAACTTAATTAATAATTCTAGGAATAATGACTTTAGATCACCTAGAAATTTTTTGACTCAACCTAGGCATATGCATAACCCAAATGTAACTTGCCATTATTGCTCTAAGATAGGACACATAGCACCCATTTGTTTTACCAAACATAGGGATTTGTTTTATAGCTATGATTATTATTTTCCTAACCCTCAAGGACCCAAAAGTTTTTGGGTACCTAAAAATTATTAGATGCATATGTAGGTGTGTTTGAAGACTACATTTTTGTAGTGGATGCTCGAATCACAAAACCTAATAATTTGCATCAAGGGGAGTTTGGGGGGAATTGTTTTTGCTATAAACATGGTATCAGTTTCAGGAGGAACATACAACAATGATGTTTTGTATCAAACATCAATGCTCAGTGAGTACCTTTTTTTTACTTTACTTAGTGCTTTTTGCTAATGCCAAAAGGGGGAAGTGTTTGGGTATATGCAACAAGTGAGGAGGAATCTTGTTTGCAAAGACGTAGGGGGAATTACCATTACTCTCTCTTTGAAAACCCAACTTGGCCTGCATATCCCCTCCTTGGTTTGTCATTATCAAAAAGGGGGAAATTGTTGGAAAACATTTTCACTTTGACATTTTGCTAATGACAATGTTTGTTTCCGTTTAGGTTTTGATATTGACAAACCGTCGGGAACATGGAACAAAATGAAAAGATAGAAAAA